TCGTCCTATTGTATATCATTTCATTGCCATGGTTACAATCCCCTCCATGCATCATCAACCAACCAAAGGGTATACCCTGCAAGCCTGCTCCCTGGTCGTAAGCACACTGCCTCTCTGGGTCTAAAGTCCCCAGCTGCTCCATTTCTCCATGTCATTGTCTCTGCCTCCATCTCTGGTGTCACTGCTTCTCTGGGTAGGGTCCCGCTCTCTGCTCTTCTCCCTTGATGGTCCCAGGGACCTCCACTCCTAAACTGCAAAGTCAATCACTCCCCTCCTTTTGCTACAAAACATCTACCTTTGCATTTCCAACCCTCACAATCAGTCCTGATAACAATTTTTCACTGTTGTATCACAAGAGACCTATCCCCATCTCCTTTCATCAGCCCCGCCCAGACAGATTGGATACTACTCAGTGGAGATTCTACCTTCCTCCACGTCCTCTGGACCTAGGTTCCCTCTTGAAAGCTTGTAAACCAGTCACTTCTTGCCTTTGTAACCCCTCCCATTTTGGGTAGCCAATGTCCAAGTTGCCCATCCCTGTCTGCTCTGTGCATGGAGGAGGTGGGTCCAGAAGTAGTTTGTGGGGCCTTTGATGGAACTGGTTTCAGTGTGTGTTAGGACCGCAGGGAAGTTGGGGGCAGGATAACTGGTTAAATGCTCATCTGCGGGTTTTGTAGGTCTGGAGCTGAGCCCACCTGAATCCGGGCACCACAGCAGCTCACCAAAGTAGCTAAGCCAGCCCCACCTCATACTGGCGTGGCTCCCAGCTACGTGGCTCTGAACTCCTGGAGAGCAGGGTCTGGGCTGGGGTGGATGAGGGTGGGAACTGGCTACACTTCTGGTCACCAAGGGAGCATGAGGTAAAATAAGAAATTGCACCTTTCTTGTTGCCTGCTCTGCCAGGCCTTCCTCCACTGCCAAAGCTGCTTACAAGATGGTCAGTCTGGCCAGCCGTTCACCAGTCAGTCGCCCTCTCTCGATGTCCCTGCTTGGCCTCTTCTCCAAGCAAGTACTCCATCCACCTCTCTAAGGGGTGCCAGAATTTTCATTTGTGTCTATTTTGTCTCTCATATCTTTGTTGTAGGGGGGCCTTGTATTGCGTCTGCCTAGCCTGCCATTTTCTCTGTTATTCCCGCTTAGAATTTTAACTGGAAAGGAACCCACAGAGTTTTAAGCTCAGAGTTATGCTGTCATTCCTCAAGTCCAGTTAAGTAGTTGTAAACCAGGGGCTTGTGCAGGATCCTAAAGACACTCTAAGACCTGTTCCTTGCCTTGAAAAAGCCTAAAATCTCCCAACACCTGGAGAGCTACTTGGTATGGCAACCTGGTTTGAAACACAGACTCTGCCACTCTCTTGGTATACTATCTTCTTTTGGTTTTTTAAAGCTTTTCTTGTGTATTAAGTAAGTGAAGGCTTACAGGGCAGATCACCACTTTTACATTCAGCAAATCAATGTAATGATTACAATCCCCTCCATACACCCTCAACCAACGTATTTACCTCTATTACTTTTTCCCTTTTTTGATGTACACATACCATACCACATTGTAAATATATATTCATTTAAATTTCCAAAGAGCACATTTTGCAAGCCAGCCTCCTGCCTGCAGTTTCTCAGCCCACGGGTCTGTATTCTACTGCTGTTCTGTCTCTATGCCCTCACTGTCGCCACCATCTGTTGTCACTGATTTTCTGGTTAGGATCCCTCGCTCCTCTCATGTTCTTCCCTCATAATGGTCTTAGGGTCCCCTATTCCTGAAATGACAGATTAACGGATCCCCCCTTTTAGTTGCACCTCTTCTACATTTATAATTGCGACAATTGCCATTGGATCTGAAAACAGTTAACTCACAATTGAATCATAAAATCCCATCCCCCTCATTACCAGACCCATCTGGACATGAGGAAAACTGTTCAGTAGGGTTTCTGACTTACTCTCCTCATTCTGACACTAAGCACACTCATGAAAGCTTGTAAGCCAGCCACTTCAGGCCCCAAGTTGGTGCTTTACCCTTGATGTGAAGAATCCTTCCCTATTCGGATGGAATTTTGGGCAGCCTCATCCACAATCAAAGTTGTGGCAATTTACATCTTCATCTTCATCTGGTCGAATTCTGGGCAGCAAGTCATCCACGCTTGTACCAATTGGTTCTGTCTTTGAGTCTGGGAGTTCTCACATGCCTCCCCTCGCCCTTCAGATCAGCTGGCTGCTTCACTCCAGCCTCCAGTGGCTAGGTCAGTGTCTTTGGACTCAGGAGTTCACACATCATGCTGAACCAGCCAGCCCTTCCTCTTTTCTTTCTCATCTCAAGGTCATCAGGTGTCTGTGGAAAGTGGCCAATCTCAACCCATGTCTTCTTTGCTGCATTTCCCACTTTCAATCACAAGTTGACTGGGATGGTCACCAGTGAGCATTGGTATACTATCTTGAAGGCATCAGTTTATTTTCTGAAGCTAGTTTTCCTCATCTGCAGACTGGGAATGATATTTATGTCACAGGTTGTTGGGATGATTAAAGGAATTAAGTTATGTGAAGGTCAAGTGACCCAGTAAACAATGTTAGTTCATGTTCTTTTTCCTCCTTTGCGAAATAATGTGTAAAGGGCTAAACAATATATACTGATGACCACTGAGTAGTTCAAAGACTGGTAAGAGCACTGTGGGTCTGAGTTATAGACTAGTCTTCATAGAGACTGCAGGACTTGAGGGGTGAGAAGGACTTAGTGAAGTAAGTAGAGGAGAGATTACGGGACAGGAGGGCAGATTCAGTTAGGGTAAACAATGTGGCCCAAATGCAGAGATAAGCATGTATCAGGCTTATGGAGGTGTCTTAGTTCTTAGTGCTCTTGTAGCAGAAATACCACAAGTGGGTGGCTTTAACAAACAAATGTATTTTCTCACATTTTGAGAAGCTAGAAGTCTGACTTCAGGGTGCCAGCGCTAGGGGGAGGCTTTATCTCTGTTAGCGCTTAAGGAAAGCCCTCGTCTCTTCTGAGCCTCTGCATCTGGGCAGTCTTCATTGCGTGTGTCTTGCCTTATCGCAGCTTCTCTCACTTACTTATTTTATCCAGGGCTTCAAAGTAGTTTAGTGATGGCTAACAGAAACAAGGGCAGCTAGACGCTGCATAACAACTACATCTCTTGCTTGACAAATTTTGACCTGAGTAGAAAGCAGGCAGCAGGAAATAAGCAGTGGTTCCTGACTGAAAGATGAGGCCTATGGCAGCCATCTGTAAGTAGGGCACCACTTCCTGTTTCCTACTGCCTCATTTCAAACCAGCTTCAGACTCTGATTTAATCTCTTTTATATCTCAAAAGAGATTGATTTAAGACACTTTCTAAAGGAATCCTGGCGTATTAGCAAAAACAAAGAAACCCTATTCCCAAAGGGGATTATAAACACAGGCATAGAATTTAGGATTTACAACACATATTTGGGGAAGATATAATCCAATCCATAAGGGGATCCAATCCGTAATGGGATCCAATCCATAACAGGGAAGGAGCAAAGTATGTTGAGCAATAATCGGGATGTTGATACATTAGGCAAAGCCTCACTTGCCATATACAAGGGGACTTCAAATTGTTAGTGGAAAAGGGAATGAAAAGATAATGGAATTGTTCCATGAACTTTTTGAAGCCCCCTCATATGTACTGTTTCTTTGAGAAATTTGAAAGAATGGAGTCAAAGGCCTGGCCTCACATGCGTTCTGTGCCTTAAGCTGCCCCCCTAGGCATGAGGTCAGGAAACCAGGCTGGTAGGTCACATGTCTCCCTTTCCCCCAGGACGATGACCGGTGTGAGGAGTGGGAGCGGCATGAAGCGCTGCATGAAGATGTGACCAGACAGGAGCGTACAACGGAGAGGCTCTTTGAGGAGGAGATTGAGCTCAAGTGGGAGAAGGGTGGCTCTGGCCTGGTGTTCTACACAGATGCTCAATTTTGGCAGGAGGAGGAAGGAGGTAATGCATCCAGACAATACTTGCTGAGTTCTTTTGGGGTTTTCTGTTTCATGTGTGTATTCCCTAGTAGTGAGCCCAAACAAAAGATTAAGGAAGAGGCTTACCTCCACTGTATGTTGTTGTCAAGTACTGTTAATTCGGTTCTGATTCACAGTGACCCTGTATAGAGTTTCCGAGAAGTGACTGGTAGGTTTGAACTGCCATCCTTGTGGTAATGCTTATCCTAGATTACCTTTACCAAGAATCTACCTTTACTGTATACGAGGGAATAACTATCCCTTTTAGAGTGATGCCCCTCCCTAAAGTCTGAATGACTCCTTCACCTTCCCCCCCAACCCCCCACTCCTGAGGAGAGAGATAAAAATACAAACAAAAGCTCCAAGTTCTAGAACAACATATGTAACTCTAGATTTAGCTCTCAACAGAACTGAGGGTCCTTGGTCCACAATGCATGCTTTTTTGTCTTCCTAGACTTTGATGAACAGACAGCCGATGACTGGGACGTGGACATGAGTGTGTACTACGACAGAGGTAATGGGCCTGGGCTTGCAATACTGGGAGGTAGAACTGGTAGTAGCCCACTGAAAAGATTTCTCTTAAAACATCTCTATTTGGTTGTAGTCAGTGCTGATTGTGGGCAGAGCATGGTAATCTTTGTCGAGGAAGGAGGACACCTGGGGACAGCCTCAGGGAACTCTGGGTCTGATGGTTAGGCTTGAGAGTGTGATGGTCAACAGCCAAGACTCTGGAGTTAAAACTGACTGGGTTCTAATCCCAGCTCTGTTATGTATTGGTTCTATGACTTCTCTTCACACAATATCCTTATCTATAAAATAGTAGAGACAAGGCTCCTATTGTTGGCCAGCTCTTAGTCTTATGAACAAAATAAGGTAATATAACAGCCTCATAAAAATGAATAAATACATTTTGTGAGGATGTCTTAGAAACCTGGTTTTCCTCACGGTGTGCTGAGAAGGGCCTTCCCAAAACTAGCTTCTGGTTTCTCAGATGGTGGAGACAAAGATGCCCGAGACTCTGTCCAAATGCGTCTGGAACAGAGATTACGAGACGGCCAGGAACACGGTTCCGTAGTTGAGTGCCAGGTGGGCACCTTTGAGCGTCACACCAAGGTGAGCATTGTGCCCACTCCATCAACTCTTTTCTTTCCCTAACCTTATTCCTTTCCTCCTTTACACCTCTTTCTCACTCACACACACACTCTCTCTCTCTGAGCCATATCTGACTTGTCTTGCCCCCTTACAGGGCATTGGGCGGAAGGTGATGGAACGGCAGGGATGGGCAGAGGGCCAGGGCCTGGGCAGCAGATGCTCAGGGGTGCCTGAGGCCTTGGATAGTGACGGCCAGCATCCCAGATGCAAGCGTGGATTAGGGTGAGTATGGCTGAGGGGCTTCCCTGAGGGCCCAAACTAGCTTTTTAGTTATAACCTGGTTTCTACCTTCTCACTGGTTTTGGAATAGGTGCTGTTAGAGGAACTTTAAAACACGGACGAGGAAAGTATGCCAGACACTTAAATATATATATATATTTTTAAGACCAAGCCTTAAGACTTCACAGTATGATTCCTTGTGAGAGTCAGTCCCTTGCCCTTTAGTTTGAGAAGTTTGGACTTGATTTAATGTGATTGTCATTAGGGAGTCACTTATAGCCCTTGAGCCTAGTGGTAACAGAATGAAGGCTCTAAGTGAGGACCTGGATGCTGGTACTGTTAATGGATTAGGGAGTCAAAGAATGGAGATCGATTGAAAGGCTCTGCCTTTGGGACAAACCAGATATGTTGTAGTGACTTCTCTGTCCCTTCCTGTTCACTTTATTGGGGAGGGGGGGGAGGTTGAGAGAGAGCAGCCCTCTCATTAAGACTTCTTCTTTATCCAGGTACCATGGAGAGAAGCTACAGCCATTTGGGCAAATGAAGCGGCCCCGTGGAACCGGTTTAGGACTCATCTCCACTATCTATGATGAGCCCCTGCCCCAGGACCAGCAGGAGTCACTGCTCCGCCGCCAGCCACCCACAGGCATGAAGTTTCGGACAGATATGGCCTTTGTGAGGGGCTCCAGCTGTGCCTTGGACAGTGTCTCAGAGCCTGAGTAACAAGGTCAGGATCACTCCTAACTGCAGGATGGCAGCCCTCTCTGCCCAGCCATGTGTACCACCACTTAGTCAGAATGGAGTCGGGGCAGCAGCAGAATGCAGCTTGTTCAGTGTGTTTTGTTCTGAACTTGACTTCTGGTTCTGTCCCTCAAGGGGAGTTGTTTTTTTTTTTTTTTAAACATTTTAGTACCCCCATATTGGCCCTTTGATATTAGGGATTACTGACTGTCCATCATTGGCCTTTTAGCCCTAGACCCTCTGTTGGGACTTGCTCCTTCTGCCACCCAGTACTTTGAAATACCAGATTATCTAAGGTTACCAGCACACCCTTCCTTGGGGGCTCTAAAGGAATCAACCAGAAGGCCAAAAAGAATTAAAGGGAATCGGATGAGGAAGAGGATTTGGGGGCTCAGAAGAGACCATCTGGGGGCTACTATTGCTCCTACCCCTTTACCCCGCTGGCCCTCTGTCTGGGCCTGGAGACTCCATGAGAAGGTCCGGACTTGTGTGACGTAATGGGAGAATAAAGAAGTTGTACGACCAGGTTTTTCTGTTAAGTCTTCTAGTTTGGCCCTGCCGGAAGTCCTGGGGTGAGGCTGTAGACTAAGCACTAAACCGCAAGGTCGGTTTGAACCGCAAGGTCGGCGGTTCGAACTCACCAGTCGCACTTCGGAAACCCTAAGTCAAAACCGATTCGATGGCACTTAACAACAACTAGTTTGGGCCTGCCGGAAGGTCAGGAAAAACCTCGAGAAAGCTTCCTCCGAGGATCCATCCGGACCATCCCTAAGTGGAGAAACCGCGGCTGCGTGACCACGCCCCTCGGGGGGGACGTTGCGTCGTCACCTTGAGGGCGGGACTTCCTTTCAGTCCCTTCCGTTTCCGACCCTTCCCGGAAGTCTGGTGCGGGACTATTTGCTGGTCTTGTACTGTTTTGGGCGTGACTGTACCTTCTAGGCGACCCGAGGGCCTACCCGAGAGTCCCCAGCAAGTGCGCATCTGGGACCCCCTTATCCTTTGTGCTCCCTGCGGCCTGGCTCCCCCGGCGTTTTCTTGCAGAGTTGGGTCTGCTCAGTACGGGGCTGTGTTTTGTCCATGGCTGGGGCTGCCCCAACCACAGCCTTTGGGCAGGTGGTTATCGGTCCGCCGGGTTCGGGAAAGACCACATACTGCCTGGGCATGAGTGAATTCCTGCGCGCGCTGGGCCGGCGCGTGGCCGTGGTGAACCTGGACCCGGCCAACGAGGGTCTGCCGTACGAGTGCGCAGTGGACGTTGGCGAGCTGGTGGGGTTGGCCGACGTCATGGACGCCCTGCAGCTGGGGCCCAACGGCGGCCTGCTTTACTGCATGGAGTACCTGGAGGCCAACCTGGACTGGCTGCGTTCCAAGCTCAATCCCCTCCGCGGTCACTACTTCCTCTTCGACTGCCCTGGCCAGGTGGAACTCTGCACGCACCACGGCGCCCTGCGCAACATCTTCGCACAAATGGCGCAGTGGGACCTCAGGGTATGTGTTGGGTTGGGCATACCCATTGTGCAAATGGAACAATTGAGACTCAGGGAGAAGGGTAGGGGCCGAGTGGCTTTGCAATTAAACAGTGTGAGTTTGAGTTCTGTACCTGCCACTGTGGCTCTGGATAAGTCACTTTATGCTTTTGAACCTCAGTAGTTTTCATCTGTAATGTGGCTGTTACCCAGCTTTGGGTTATTGGAAGTCTGTTATCCTTGTTAGGTGGCATGGAAAGTGGCATGGCGTTTATTGTAAGTGGGTGAGGAAAGGTGCAAAGAATGGAGTCGGATGCAATTGGAAGTGAACCAGTTGCTCAGTGGGAAGCTCAGTGCGAAGCATTTTAGAAGGAAAAATGTGCAGTATCTCTTGGGAGGGGGAAGCTAAGGTGGATTTTACAGAACAGACGCAAGAGGAGACTTAGGGAGAGGTTTGCACTCTGTCTTCAGGACCCCCAGTCTGATGAGGGAGACACAGGCCCTGACTTCACTGTCTCCCCAGGCCACTCTCACTCTGTCTTCCTCCCTTCCCAGCTGACTGCTGTCCATTTGGTGGATTCTCACTACTGCACAGACCCAGCCAAGTTCATTTCAGTACTGTGTACTTCCTTGGCCACCATGCTGCATGTGGAGCTGCCCCACGTCAACGTCCTCTCCAAGATGGACCTCATTGAACACTACGGGAAACTGGGTAAGGACTCCTGATCTGACAGACAAGGAGTAGGGCAGCAGCTGGGCGACAAGAGCACAGCACAGATACCCACTCAAGGAAGCGGCTTACGCCATGATGATAACAGCCGGAGATGGGCCTGGATCCCTCCCGGTTACTTTGAGTCACTCTGTGTCAGGTATTGTTCTTGATTTTGGAGACGGCGGAATCATAGATGACTCAGGCTTTAGACTGGGCCAGTAGACATGGGGGTGCTATTTGTCAAGGTGAGGAAGACTAAGGGAGAGGCAAGCTACTATCAAGCAAAGGCCCAATAGCTGGGCGTATCAACACCCTAAATAGCGCTTCCAGCCACAAAAGACGCTACAGAATATCAGTTAAAATGAACAGAAATGTGGGCAGGAAAGGAGGTTGTTAGGAAAGTGACAAGTCAGGGGCCCCAATCAAGGAAGCTGACTGCCAAGTCAGGATGTAGAGGTATGTCAGCCCATTGAAGGGGCTCTTCAACCCAGGACCCTGGTCCATCTCTTGGTAACCACAGAAACCCTGTTTTATCTGTACCCAGATTTGTAACCTTCCCAAGTCTCTCTCCTTCACAACCTCTCACCCAGATGGCTACCCAGTGGTCCTCAACCTCTTTAGCTCTGTGAAGGTCATTCTCACAAGAGATGGCTCCAGGTGAGGAAACACAGACTAAGGTCAATCACATAGCTAGAATCCGAGCTTAGATGGAATCCAGGCCCTAAGTGTGTCTGCTTCTAGTTTCCTAATTCTCATGGGAGACAATCCAACAAGTTTGTGTCGGAATGCTCAGTACATCCTTTCTTGAAGGAATGGGGAAGTCAATTTCTAATGAACCACTTGCTTGTTAAGATTGAAGGCAGAAACATCTTCAACTGCCTGATTCCCCCAGCTTTCTTTGGGACTGACCTGCTAAGCAGTCCAAATGCTGTGAGTTTCCTGGGCAGAGATGGTACAGGGGTAGAGGTGGCACTTTCTTTTGGTTGCTTTTGTTGTTAAATGCCATCGAGTCCATTTCAACTCAGCGACCGTCTGTAGGGTTTAGGAAATTTATAGTTTATATTCACAGAATGAAACTAGTGACCTCAGAATCATCTAGACCGATCTTTTCATTTTACCTTGAGAAGGAACACAGCCAGAGAGGGAAAATGATTGACTCAAGAGGCCACCCTGCTTTTGGTCAGCATCTGTGGAGTCTTCACAGTGTGGGTGAAGTCCTGGTGTATAGTGCTGTAGGATAAGCACTAAATCGCAAGGTCAACAGTTTGAATTCACCAGCCACTCCTTGGAAACCATGCACAGGGTCACTATGTGTCAGAACCGACTCAAAGGCACTGAAAAACAGTAAGCGCTAAGTTCTAGAGGTACTGCCATACTGTAAGCTCCACGAGGTAGGGACCACCATGTTCACTGTTCTGGCTCCAGCATCAATCATAGTTCTTTGTACGTGTTCATATTAATCAAGCATTGTCTCACACTTAATTTTCATAGCAGCCCTATGAGGTGGGTATCTGTCTGTATAGCTGGTAAATGTTAGAGCCAATAGGTGAAACCAAGTATTCAGTCCTTATTCATCTCATTGGACTGCCTCAGTCAGTATTTGTTTTATGAATGAGTACATGCAAGCAAAGGATGACAGGAAATGCACTCCTCAGGTCTTGAACCTCCTGCCAGCAGCTCCTGAACACTGATTTCTCACTTTAGCCTTCAACCTGGACTACTACACAGAGGTCCTGGACCTCTCCTACCTGCTTGACCACCTGGCAACTGACCCATTCTTCCGCCACTACCGCCAGCTCAATGAGAAACTGGTGCAACTCATTGAAGACTACAGCTTGGTCTCCTTCATTCCTCTCAACATCCAGGTACTGTGGGTTAGAAGGCCTCTTTCCTATGACTGTGAGCTCTGACCGTGCTTCGGGCCTTCTTGCATCAGTGCTTCAGGAAGCTTTGAGGGCCCATACAGTGGTCTTTGTCTTGGGTCTGATGATTGTTGGGTCTCCTTGGTTTCAGGATAAGGGGCTGTGGTGGGCAGAATTCCAGTAAGGGGGTGACCAGACCATGCAAGCTAGCATGTCTCTTCTCTTTCCAAACTACACTTTTCTTTTCCAAAATGAGGAGGTCGAACTCTGTAACATTAATTATAACAACTATCACTTACTGAAGGCTTTCTGTGTACTAAGGACTAAACAATACGTTATCATGGGGTGTCCTTTTTATCATGTGATGTGTAGACCATTCTTCTCTTCTCACTATTATATGCATGAGGAAGTAGTTATAGCCAGGTTATATAACATGCATATTTACTGAGTGCCTCCTTTAGTTAAGGAGTGTGCCAGACTCTAGAGATGTCTCAGTAAACAGATCCCCGATCTCAAGGGGTGTACAATCAAATTGAGGAAGTAGACAAGTTAATAGAGATTTCTAAGATGTCAAGAGCAACAAAACAGTCAGCAGTTACTTTAAAACAAAGATAAGAATTTAAGGGGACAGGGAAGCTAGATTAATGGAAACAATACAACCAAAATAGACATAATGAGAATGTTCACGTACTGAAGAATCTAACCAAAGTCACTGAATAACATGTGTGAAAATTAGATGGGAAACTAAACTGCTATGTAAATCTTCACCAAAAACATAAAATACTATTTTTTTAAAAACATGACAAGATTAGAATTACAAGAGGGATTAGCCCAAGGCACAGTGAGTGTACATAGAGGGATTTACCTGTTCTAATCTGGGCAGGCTGGTGGCTAGGGATGATGGTATTGAACCACGCCACTGGGGATGTCAGAGCACTCCTGGACACTGAAGCTGCATGTAGAAAGGTGTCAGAAGGCAACATCCAGGAAGCTATGTTTGGAGACTGCCAGTCTTTTTGTACAACTTCAGTTTTGCACATCTCTTTGTCACTCACCGAGCTGTTTCTGTCCTCTCCGCCAAGGACAAGGAGAGCATCCAGCGAGTGCTCCAGGCTGTGGATAAAGCCAATGGTTACTGCTTTGGGGTCCAAGAGCAGCGAAGCCTGGAGGCCATGATGTCTGCTGCAGTGGGAGCTGACTTCCATTTCTCCTCGTATCCTTACTCTGTAGGCTTACTCTTCCTGGCCACAGCCAAGAGGGAGAGACGGGGTGTGGGGGTGTGGCCACAGCTTTATAGATGACTGATTTCTTATTGACCAGGTGTGCTCCTTGGTGACTGTCATGTTCAGATGCTTCACAATGCTTCAGTTGGTTGTCCCTGAGGAAGAGGAAGGAAGTTGATGAGAAGGAATAATAAATGCAAAGACCCAGAAATGAGAGGGCAGGGAGAAATGTAAGGGTCAGGATACCTGGGATGTTGAGATTGAAGTGGAAAGGGAAATGCAGTGCTGCAGGTGGGCCATGGAGGTTTGAGTACCCTGCTAAGTGTGGACTTCAGCTCACGGGGGGGACAGTGGGACTGCTGAACACTGGTTTTCTGTATGTTTTAGAAAACAGCCTCTGAGTGTCTATCTTAGTTTCTGGAGTTGCTGTAACAGAAATATCCCAGGTAGGTGGCTTCAAGGAGCATTTGTTTTCTCACAGTTTGTTGTTAGGTGCTGCTAAGTTGGTTCTAATTCATAGCGACCCTGTATAGGGTTTCTGAGAAGTAGCAGGTGGCTTTGAACCACCACCTGTGGTTAGTCAATAGCACCACACCAGGACCCCTTTTCATAGTTGAGGAGGCTAGAAATTTGAATTCAGGGCACCAGTTCTAGGAGAATATTTTCTGACTTGGCTCTGGGAGATGGTCCTCGTGTCTTTCAGCTTCTGTGTCTTGTTTTTGGGAGATCTCTTGTGGCATCTGTCTTCTCCCCCCATCTGTGCTTGCTTACTTCTTGCTTAATTTTCTCGCGTGTGTCTGTAAAGAGGTAAATACTATCTTATTAATAAAACAGTATTCATTCTTAAATGGAATTATAACCAAAGGTATAGTGGGATTTACACTACCTATTTTGAGGAACCCAATTCCATGTATAACAGTGTGGAAGAGTCATTTGAGGGATATGCTTGGGAATAAGAGAGTTTTTACTTTCTCTTTAAGTAACAAGGGCTTAAACATTTGCAGTGAGAGTAGAAAGAAGGATGTGGATTGAGAAACTACTAAATCGAGCATACATAAGATTACTATGAGTCAGAATTGACTTGCTGGCATACAAGAAGACTACAAGAATTTGTGACGGTTGCTATGGGATAGATGGAGGTGGAGCAGACTTGAGACACCCATGTTTCTAGCTTGGACTGTGGAGTGGGTGGTGGTGTTAATCACTGAGGCAGGACGAGGAGGGGGCCAGGTTTGTCTTGGGGTGGAAGGAATGGGAGCTGGTATGAGTGGGGCACGGAACATCCAGAGAAGATGTCCAGGAAGCAACTAGACTTTAGAACTAGGTTGGGTCAGAGAGGAGTAGAGTTGGAGCCAAGGGCATGGGCTGGGTGGTGTCACAAAGGTCATGTATGAAGCAGGACGGGGAAGTCCAAGCCCTCTTAGCTGATGGTCTCAAGAGATTTGGCATCTGAACCCAGAATTCCTGGGCATAAAGGGAAATCTAATCAGCACTTAGATCTTTTCACACGTGAGAAAGCAAGCTCACCAGGAGACAGACAATGTATAAATGATGGCAGTGGAGTGCAGTGTTTGGCATAGGTTCTGAGAAGCTCTTGCCAGCATGTAGGCTATGTTGGCACATTCAAGCAAAAATGGGAGAAGGTGATTTAAACAGTACTGCCATTTTATTTTACACATTGTACATTATGCATTCATATGTATTCTGTACAAGATTGCATTCACAAAAAACTATTTATTCTGTGGTTAATGAATGATTTAAGGCATTCTCAAGTGTAATCTTTTTTAATTTAGGAATTAAATGAAAGTTTGCAGAGCTACAAACCATCACTTACATTCTCAACAAATCATACATACTTTGTCTTATGTCATTGATTGCAATCCCCTCAATGTGACATTATAGATCCCGTTCCTGCCATGTGTTTCTAATTTCCAGTCCTCCTCTGTCCCACACTTTCTGAACTTTGTCCTTGGATAAATTCCCTTTTGAGCTCACATGGTTGACCATTCTATGGTGTGCATACCTCGCTAATGTTTTGGTTCACCCCTAGACCTATCTTGTTGCTTGGGTGAAAATTGTTGAATGAAAATCTTAATTGTGAGCATTTGTGCTGACTTTAGGCCCTTACCCCCACCCTACCCACTTAAAGTCAACCTCATCTGTCTGTAAGGTAGGGATTGGTACCGAGGTTGAAATGGTGTGCTCTGCTGCTGGAGATGGTGGGAATAAAGGAACGCTTCTTAGAGATTGTGCCAGAAGAAGGAGCAGTATATGCAGAAATAGGGGGTTCAAGGTTGAGAAATGCTTGGGGTTGTGAGTAGAATGACCTGACTCATGAACAGGTAGGTTGAGGCGTAAGTAAGATGAGTTGAGTGATTCTCGGGGCTGACTTGGGTTAGGAACAAGGCAGTTCCTCTTGAGGAAAATCAAAGTCTGGGACACAGGTTCTGGAAAGAAAAGTTTTGAGTAGGTGCCTTTTTTTGTGTGTGTCATCTGTCTCAGAAGAATCATATACAGAGAAAAGACATGAGAAAGCATTGGTTTAGTGCTAATGGATCTATAAGAACTAGGATTTTTATAAAACTGCTGTTGCTAAATGCCATTGAGTCTATTCTGACTCATAGTAACTCTGCATAGGGCTTCTGAGTAGCAGCTGGTGAGTTTGAATGTCCGACCTTGTGGTTTGCAGTCAGTCCAGTGCTGATCCAGTCCAGCGCCACACCAGAACTCCAAAACTAAAAAACCTCAACTGACTGTTCTATGAAGAAAAAATAGAACGTAAGGGAATCCCCTGACAAGTCCTCATGGGAATGAGATGGATTTTGAATATTGGACCCATACCCCGAGCATTAAGAGCTCTAGTAGCGTAGTGGTTATGAGTCTGGCTGCTGACCTCAAGGTCAGCAATTCAAAACTACCAGCTGTTCAGAGGGAGAAAGATGCGCTTTCTGCTCCTGCAAAGATTTATAGCCTCAGAAACCCTATGCAGGGTTGCTGTGAGTTGGCACCAACTCCGCAGCATACCACCACCACCCAGTACATTCTTTGGTGTCTAAGTTCTTCACTTGCATGGCATCATTTAACCCCCACTGGCATGTCGCTGTGTGTTAATGCACTGGACTGCATGGTTGGTTTGAACTGCAAGGTCAGTTCAAGCTCACCAGCTGCTCCTTGGAAACCCTATGCAGGATAGCTATGAGTCGGAACCGACTTGATGGCATTTAACAATAACCCCCTTTTTAAGGACTCCTGATGTGGCACTATAGAATAAGCACTGGACTGGTCACTACAAGGTCAGTGGTTCAAACCCACCAGCTGCTCCTTAGAAACTCTATAAAGGGTCATTATGAGTTGGAACTGACTCCAAGGCACTTAACAACAACAACCCCCTTTTTTAAGTGAGGAATTTGGGACGTCTAGAGGAGGCAAAGAGAATATTGGTGCGGTGGTTAAACACTCAGTTGGTAACCAAAAGGCAATTCAAACCCACCATCTGCTCTGCGGGAGAAAGGTGGTGTCTTTGGAAACCCTGTGGAGCAGTTCTTTGTCCGTAGGCTCCTTGTGAGTCAGAATAGCTAGATGACTATGGGTAGAGGAGACAGTGGCAACCGCTAGGTCCCTCTCCAAGGATATGTTGGAAGAACACTTCAAACCTAGTTCTCCCTAGTTATTAGGATTTCAGTTCTGACATTGGAATCGCCTAGTAGAATAGCCATGTATTCTCAGTTACATTTCTTGGCTGACCCCAGCCCTTAGGCCGGCCAGCCTTGCAGTGGTCCGTCTACAGTATTGCGGTCTTTGCCTTGGTGAATTTCATTTGTGATTTCCTCCGCCACTTTCCTGCTGTCCTAGAGAGAGGTAGAAGGCATCCTATACCTGAAGCAAGAATCTCTCATTTTCTTTGAGCTCCCATAAGTTCTATCCCTTGTCAGGAAAATAGAAGTCACAAATGTTGGTTGAGCATATGTATTGAGCACCTACTGTGTGCCAGATACGCTAGGCACTTCTTAATCTTTGTCTCATTTAGTGCCTGCAGCAACGCTACAACTGGGAAAAAGGAAATGGTAAAATCAAGATTTGGATCCCTGCAGGAATCTTGGTGTGGTGCTGAAGACTAAGGACTGGACTGCAAAACACAGGGTCAGTGATTGATAGCTGCCAAGCGCTCCTTGGGAACCCTGTGTAGGGTTGCTGTGAGTCACTGTGCTCTGAATGTCTCCATGGTGTTTAGCAACAAGATCTAGCTTCAGAGCATGTGCATTAAACCAGAGCTGGAGGGCTAGCACTTTGGTTCTCAGCCACGTGGGGAGGAGGCAGAGAGGAGCACTTGGATGTGGATGCTCTGGGGGACTTCTCAGGCCCTAGTGACCTCGTTTGCGTGTAGCCTGCCCAGTTCCCCAACCTCTGCTAATGCTCTCATCCTTGACGGGCCCTCCTTCAGCACACTGGGTCTCCAGGAGAAGTACGTGACATCCACAGAGCAGCCAGTGGAGCAGGAAGCCAGGCAACTGTTGCCACAAGCTGGACCCTGAGCACAAACCGAACTCATCTCCACAGCACTGGGGGAAGTAGAGGCTCCTTTGGGCAGTGGGCAGCTCAGCAGGCTGCAAAACCAAGAGCAAGTCCTCCCAACCAGAACTGGGAGGCTGGCGAGGAGACCGCTCTGTAAAGGACAGCTGACAAGAAAAGGCAAACATGGTGCCAGGCGGCACCCAGAAGAGTCCCACCTATACCCTTGGTGGTCTCAGGAGCTCTGAGCCCTGACTCCAGAAACACAGAGCGCTGGTCCATCTCAGGCAGTGGTGGAATGGGCTTTATGGCCAGTACAAGAGCTGAGTCCATCCTTTCTGTGCAGACTTTCTTTGACACTCAGCAGTCCAGGGGGTTGGGACTGAACAAAGAAGGTCTGTCTTATGGCCAGTGGTTGCCTCTCCGGGAGTCCTGCTTCTACATACAGGAAGGGCAGTGATGCCCCCAAATACTGTATCATACATTCGGTTTCCAATTTGTGCTTTTGTTAATCGTCCTTTTTAAAAGTGAGCCAACCTCAGACTTGAGCCATCACTGGCAACACTTTCTAACTAGACCCTCTATCCCATTGTTCTATTTTCATTGTATTTATTTTATGGTTTTATCCTATTTTTGGCAAGGGTTGCCTAGTTTTCCATTTACAGTAGTGATTAAAAGCTTACTTTTTAAATGAACTTATTTATATAAAGTGAGTTTATTTAAAGAAAAATGTTTACGTATGTAATAAGACAGCTTAATAAGGGTGTGGTAAAAATTGTCCAGATGGCATGAAGTTGAGAAATTGGATTGAGCGCAGTTCCTATTTTTGGCCAGTAGGTGGCAGCCCATGCTAACTTTGGCAGTTGCCGCTCCGCTGCAGAGGGTGATAGATCACTGGGAAAGACCTTGTGCCTGTGCCTGAAGTCTTAGTTGCAGATATTTGGAGCTGTGAAACACACATGAAAGGCCTGGCATTTTATGAAGTGCTTGCACACAGATGGTCTTCATGTGGTTCTCACAGCAACTCCTAGAGATAGGATGGGGAGCATTACTAACAGGGAGCATTACTAAGCCCCATTGGAGAGTTTGAACTTGGTCATTTTGACTCCCTCAACTCACTTTGTTGACTTCTTCATTGCGAGTGTCCCTGCTTTGATATACTTACTGGTAAAAAGCCACAGTTCTTATCCCCAAGATTTTGTAGCTGAGCAGGAGGAAACGGAGGCTTCTATAAAGCACTGCTGAAGTTGTTAATTGGGGGAAGAGAGGTCAGTGGTGGTTTGGGCAGTTGGAGACTTTGGTGCAGTAAGATCACTTCTAGAGTGGCATTGAAATAGGAGTGACTCAGCTCTGCTCTGTAGCTTTGGTAGCCAGAGCAGAAGGCGGAAGAGTGAGGGGCTTTGAGGAGGTTCCTATGGCTGGAACAGTATGAAAGCAGTCCACCTCAGCTCCCACGCCTGGCTGTATGGGGGATAATAACTGGGTGCTGCCTCCCCAGCCTCTTTCATCTGAGGAGTTCAAAGCACCTCACCCCGATTAACACCTGTGTAGTAGGTGGGAAGTATCAACTGAGCAAGGCAGGGAAACTGAGGCCAGGGGGCACAGCCTAGGGCTGACTATGAGTCACTTATGGAGCCTGGAGCCCAGGAATCCTGACGCCCAGCCTACTGGACAAATCCCTCATCAGATAGAGCGTGAGGGTGGGTGCTGTGATCATGGGTTTTGATGCTTTGCCCTCACAGAGGCCCTCACCCTCACCAAAGCAAAGCAGGCGTGAGGACTAGAAGGCGTCGGTAAAGCTTTATGGTCTTGCTTCCAAGCACTCTCAGCATTTACTCTCTGTAGTCGTGGAGTGGTGAAGGATGGAAATAATCCAGAGCTTTTTTTTTCCGGCCTTGGTGTGACAACCAGGGTGTTTTCCTCTCTAGTAAATAGCTCTGTTCCCCTCCCACAGATAGCAAAAGTGCATTTCTGTCACCTGTGCCTGCAGTGACGATGGGGAGGGGACAGCACAGGGCAGAAGCCTGGGATCCAGGTGAGGCCTGGGTGAGACATAGACTGAGAGAAAGACCAGCTTCCACCATGGCTGGCACGTGGCATCCATTCTGAAGCTTTTGTATTTGTTTTTCTTTTCCTGTTACAAAACTTGGGAAATTAAGAGACAACTTTAAGGCGCCTATACTCCCATAACAGAAATAATCATCAATATTTATTACCTGTAATAAATATATATACTTCCTGGTCTTATTTTTCTATGTACTCAGAGGTGGTGTGGAATTTACATGTGGGATATTTTATAATTACTCTGTAGCCTCCTTTTTTTTAGTTAACAAGCTGTATAATTAAAAACAAAAACCTAGACGAAAATAGATTAGTGATCACCAGAGTTGAAGGCTGAGAGGGCAGGAAGGAGAGAAAGGGAATTTTGCGTAAACATTTTTTTTTCTAAAAAATTTAATGAAATGTAAATTTGTTTTACATTTCTCGAGGACTTAAAGAAAAGTTTTTGTTGTTGGTTTTGGATCCAGAGTCCATGTGATAAATAATTTATGATGCTTGAAATTGCTAGAATCAAACCATAAGATTTTCTCTCTCTGAAAATGATACATAAGATGTCAGAAAGTGTTACTGCAGAGCAATTTACCTGTTTAAGATATGTGTGTTTGTGTGTTGTTAAGCACTGTTGAGTCAGTTCCAACAGGTACCCTGTATAGTGTTTCCGAGGAGTGGCTGGTGGGTTTGAACTACTGACCTCGTGGTTAGCAGTCCAATATTTATATTACAATGCCACACTAGGACTTATATGTTGTTAAATACCATAGAGTCGATTCTGACTCAGTGACCCTGTATATGGACTCTGAGGAGTGACTGCTAGGTATGAACCACTGATCTGTGGTTAGCAGTCCAGTGCTGATCATACAGCACCACACCAGGATATATATATAAATAATGTCTGGAGTGCCTTAGAAAAGGACCTTATTGTTAACCTCTGCTAAGCACTGATACTAGGATTTAGGCATTTCCTAGCACTGAATTGGAAACTCCAACAATTGGAAGGTAGCATTCTTAGCAGTCAAGCCTCAAGTAATTGGTCCAGGCAAAGAAGCTTGATGAAAGGTAAGGCCTAAAGCCCACAGACCTGAAGCACCCATTCTGCTCTCAGCTGTTCAAACTATCAAAACACCACAGTTGGTTCACAGTAGGATTCTGATCTCATTAGGATCTGAGATAAAGGGAGAGGTAGATTTTAGGGATTCTCTGTCTCTTCCCAACCCTCCTGAGGGAAGAGGGAGTGACTTCAGACTCATCCCAACACTATCAAGGCCCACCCTGTTTTGAAAACAGCAAGGAGCCCCAATTTCCTTAGAATCCTAGAAGGACATTCTCCAGCAAGCCTAGTAGCCCCCATGTAGCCCCTACTGCCCTTTTCTTTCCTCTTCTTTTTTTGTCCTTCGTAATTGAGGCTTTACCCAACCTGTTTTGGGCTGTCCACCTTCCTCTTCTTCATCCTTCAAAAGGAAAAGCCCAGATGAGCACAGAGATTAGTGGCATCAGGACAATTTAAATTTGTGTTTTTCAGTCAGTTCCAAACTCAAAGTCACCCCAAAGGCCATATAGATGATTCTGAACTAAATCTCTACAGTCAGACAAGGACATTTCAGGTTAGTTTTTCCTGAAGAAGGAAATGGAAAAAATGTGCCTGCCTTCTCCTGTTTCGCCCTCCCTCCCCCTTTCCTCCCTTCCCACTTCCTTCTGCAATAAATATGTATTGAATGCCATAATCTAATGTATTAAGTGTTTTACCTGGTCATAGATGATGACTCCCTGCTTTTCAGAGTCTGGGATGCGCCTCTTTTATCTCTAGACAGAGTTAAATTTCCCAGAGAGCAGTTAGAAGAAGATTGGGTGGAGATGAGAGGTGAATCAGCCTTTGACACCCCCAGCTGACATACCTGTCTGCTGCCCCCACAGACATTCCTGTCTGTTGACGGAGTGAGTAGGTGGGGCTAAGGGGAGCTCTAAGGAGAGGGGCCCTCTCCTGCAGAAACCCAGCCCCACTCCCGACAGCCAGCAGGGATTTAGTGTGTGAGGGTGGACCCTGGGTACAGGATGAAAAATTTAAAGGTACAAAGAATGAACTAGATAATGGAAGTCTAAACATAGTAAGTGAGCCTGGAAATTGGTTCACTTCACAATCTTGTCTTATTTAAGGGACTTCCTTTCTGCTGGGCCCTGGAGTGGCAGTAAATTCAGTGGAGTAAAAAGGCATTCTTGATTCTTAGAAAGTCCAAGAAGGGAGCAGGGCAGCATAATGTGGTTCTTTTAAATTTTATTTTTAGTCATGAAACTCCCATATGCAAAACAGACATATGTGTGGTTATTTTAGCCAAAGTGAGTGGAAATGGGAAACCCTAACCGCTGGGAAGCTTCTAGGGAATCCTCTGAGCACAGTTTGAAAACAGCTGTTGGATTTTTAAAAGCAAGGGCCTTGGAGACAGACCCAGTTCTACTACGAGTACATAAATGTTTGTATAAAACCTTGGTTGCGAGATTACTTAGCCTCTCCAAGCCTTGGTCTCCTCATACACAAAACGAAGGTGATAAACCTGTTATTGTGCAGATTAAGGTATGAAACTGCCTGACACACACAGAAGTCAGGCCAGCTGCTGTTATTAACTACTCTCTTGTAGAAAGAGGCAGGAGTAGGGCACTGGTGGTCAGAAGAGCAGTGTTGGCTTTGATACATATTTTAGGGGAGCACATTCAATCCATGACAGAAGAAAAATGGTTAACCAAGTTTTGACCTGAAATTTTTTTAAAGGTTAAAAGACCATGTTCAAATAAGGAGGTGACAAAAGTCACCATGAAATTTCCAGTGGAACTTGGTGTTTTTACTTGTTTTGTCTCTGTAACTGATCATAAAATTCACCTTTCTAGAGTAGCAACTGGCATCTTAAAATCTCATGAATGGCTGTCTAAGGTGCAGCTATTGGTCTCTTCCTGTCTGGAGAAGGAAAGAGTG